AAAAAAAAAAACCTCAGGGAAGGTAGGGAGGGAAGGGATGGTAGGGGGAAAACAATGGAGGGGGTAACAATGCTCAATAGGAAGTGTACTCTTTACCTTACTCATGTAACTGTAACCCTCTGTATAGTATCTTTACAATAAAAAATAAAAAAATATTTTTTAAAAAAAGGCAGAAACTCCAGGGGAAACAAAGCTCAAACAAAGCAAATGGTACCAGGTAAGAAAAGTGGGAACCATCTCAAAAAGAACCTACATAAAGCTTCTGAAAACAAATGTGCCCTGCCTTACCTCTTCCATGCATTTATGGTTTTCTAGCAAGCCAGGCTGTCTGTATAGTCAAGCTACCTGAAAACTACACATTCCACATACCTTTAAAGAAGACACCATATATTATATAACTGTTTAGTTTTTATCCTAGATTCTTACATTGCTTAAAATTTAGGAATTTCATTAATAGGGAGTATATTGGCTATTCATGGCCAGCCAAGATAGTTTTAGGCTAATAAAGGATAGGGGGCTAACCATTATAATTAGACAATTGGGGTTTGGAGGTCAGTTTTACTTGGAGGAAAGAGGGACTGGAGAATGAGTATCAAATAATTAGTCAATATATTGTGCCTATATCACAAAACTATAGAAAATTAAATTCGGTGGAGCTACCTTGTTAGTGCAAATTATCAATGTGAGGAGGGTGAAATGTCCCAATTCTATTACTAGGGGCATATAAGCTTTTCATTTATGGTAACTTTTCAGACTGTTGTTCCCTTGGTTGGTCCTGACTTTTGACGTAGGTCATGGGAATTCCTCAGATTTGCAGCAATTTGGGCAGAGTAGAAATGGCTTGGAGACCTCCTCGAAAATGTATCTAACATCTGAAATACAGGTAATCTTGTTGGGACTCATGACTTAATTAACCTGTGATTCTACAGTAATTTCTAGTAGTATAGATTAGATGGGGCATTTTAGAGGGTCGGTCCTTATCAAAAAAATTGGCATATGGGCTGGGAAGGTGGCTCAGTGGTAGAGTGCTTGCCTTGCATGCCTGAGGCCCTGGGTTCGATTCCTCAGCACCACATAAGCAAAAAGAAAAAAGCCAGAAGTGGCGCTGTGGCTCAAGTGGTAGAGCGCTAGCCTTGAGCTGAAGAGCTGAGGGACAGTGCCCAGGCCCAGAGTTCAGGCCCCACGACTGGACCCAAAAAAAAAAAAAAAAAATTGGCATAATCCTCTGTGGCCATAGACTCTAAACCTCTCCTTGTCTGTCAGAAGCTTATTGCCACCAGCCCTGCCCAAAAGTCATGTAGCACTCTTTACTTATGTAAGTATGTATATATGCATGCATGTATTTAGATGCCAGTCCTGAGGCTTGAACAAGGCCTGGGTGCTGTCCCTGAGATTTTTTTTCTAAAGGCTACAGTTCTACCACTTGAGCCACAGCACCACTTCTGAGTAGTTTATTGGATTAAAACTCTTACAGACGTTCCTGCCCAAGCTGGCTTCAAACCGCAATCCTCAGATCTCGGCGTCTTAAGTAGCTAGGATTTCAGGTGTGAGCCAGCGTTATGTGGCACTCTTACTTCTACTGAATCTCCAGGAAAAAGGGTATCCCAACCTGAAATTGGCCCAGAGACATTTAATTCCAGTTAGAGGAGAAATAATGAAAAGAAATGAAGTCAAGAGATTCACAAATGACTCACGATGAAATATTTTTTCTTTGCTAAAATAAAGTCTCTAGTTCAAAGTGTTTCACTGTAACACAAAGTGGTGAGGGGAAAAGCCTTTAACTGAAGAATGAAATTCTGCCTTGAGTTAGAAATTTGAGGCATATAAAACAAATTATAAAAATTCTTTTCCTTTTCTCAGACATATGCAATTATAGGTCTTTATTATTATAAATGCAACTTAAGTGTTTGCAGTTTGGTACTACAAAGCCTATGATTATGTCTCAAGCAATTAAAACTCACATTATTTAATACATATATAGGATGGGGTAGGTGATGAGAATGGAAGGCATAGAAAGGGGAAAGATGTGAGAAAGGGGTTAGAACTAAGAAGTGATGAGAAATATCACAAGCTAATCTTTAAGGGAAACCTTAGTTACTGATTTTCAGAATGAAATAAAAAGTATACACTTGGGAGAAGCTCCTGGAACAAAGTTTTTTTGTTGTTGGTTTTCTTTGTTGTTTTGTTTTGTTTTCTGTTGGTCCTGGGGTTTGAACTCTGGGCCTGAGTACTGTCCCTCAGCTCTTCAGCTCAAGGCTAGCGCTCTACCACTTGAGCTACAGCGCTTTTCTGGTGGTTTATTGGAGATAAAGAGTTTCATGGACTTTCCTGCCAAGGCTAGCTTTGAACCTCAATCCTCACATCTCAGCCTCCTGAGTAGCTAGGATTACAGGTGTGAGCCACCGGCGCCTGGCTTAGAAAAAAGTTTTAAAAGTCACTGGTTCATCCAGTGCTTCTGAGTGTATGTTAGTTGTATATATACCAGTGAGGTTTGAGTGCCCAACCATCATTGTTGGAGGAATAAAAGTTGAATAAACTTATAAGTACTCAGCCTTTTTAAGCCCCAGTTTCCTTAACTAAAAAATGCTTCTGTGGAAAAGTAATCATTACTGGTATACAGTAGGCACTCAGCAAGTTATCAGCTTTGTGAGTATGACAAGGGAGACTGAGGATAACACAACTGATCCCAATCAAGGACTCTCCAACTCCAGTGCAGACAAGGGCTGTCCTCTGTTTAGCTGCCACACTGAGCTCATTATCATGCTGGTACTTAAGGCCCTGGGCTGGCAGTGTTCTTAATTCTTGTCACTCAAACACAGTTTCTAATACATAGGCTGCTTTCAAGAGACTGGCTTCCTGAACACAATCTTTGTACATTTGGAAATTACAACTTATGCTGTCATGTGAGTACTGTGAACAAAATTACGGAGACACAAACGAAATTCTCCAATTTTAGCTCAAATACTGGGGTTATTAACTTGCATAGTAGACTGACGTATGCACTCTATCCATAATTAACATCAGAATAACACTCAATTTATGTACAAAAAACATTAGATGCAAAATTTGTAATACATTTAATGTTTCCTTTGGAATGTTTTTACATTCCAATGTCACGTCACTATAAATCCAAACATACAAGACATAACATTTTACATGAATTCTCATTTTCTGTTCTTAATAGAGACCAATCTACCAAATGGTCTATGGAATATCTCTACCAAATACTATTTTTCTGTACTGCAGTTACAAAACCAAGTACCTTGTATATATGTTTACTATGTACCACATTACCAAAACATAGCAATAAATTAAACAATATAAATTCAATTAGGAAATGAGGTACAAGACTGACATCTAGAAATTTAAATAACAAAACATTTTGTCTTCTTATCACACTAAAACCCAGCCATTTCCATAGATATTTACTATATAAATCTATCTAATCAGCAGCATGTCAAGGTTCATTTCCTTCACTTTAAAATAAGAAGACTGTATGAGTCTAAGGCTCTGGCAATAAGGCTAAACATCTGACCCACATCATCTTCTTTTCTGATCCAAGGTAGGTATCAGAAGTATCATCTTTTTGTGGTATTGGGGACTGAACTCAGAGCCTTGTATTCATTAAACAAGTTTTTCTACCACTTGAGCCATGCTCCAGTCCAGGTTCCTCTTTTTTTTGGCTGGTCCTGGACTTGAACTCAGGACCTGGACACTGTCCATGAGCTCTTTTGCTCAAGGCTAGTGATCTACCACTTTAGCCACAGCTCCACTTCCAGTTTTTGAGTGGTTAATTGGAAGATGGGTCTCACAGGGACTTTTCTGCTTGGGCTGGCTTCAAACCGTGACCTCAGATCTCAGCCTCCTGATTACAGGCTGAACAACTGGCATTGGGCCAGAATCTTTAAATTTTTTTTTTGGGGGGGGTGGTCGGTCATGGGGCTTGAACTCTGGGCTTGGGCGCTGTGGCTGTGCTCTTCAGCTCAAGGAGAGAGCTTCCTCTCCCCCCCCCACTCCCCCCAGCTTGAGCCACAGCGCCACTTCCAGAATCTTTCAATTTAAAGAAATGGGAATTGAGAGGCCTTAGGTAACTTTCCAGGATGCAAGCCCAAGCAGTGTAACTTCAATTTCCTGTTCTCAGTTGCTACCACTTTCTGTACCATCTTTTGAATCTTTTGTCATGATCTGTTTTTATCTGCATTACCATTAAGTGATAGTGTTTACATTTCTAGATAGGAATTATCTACATAATGCTAGTTTGGGACATATGCCCACTGATAAAGACTATCAATTTATACGTTATATATTAGGTGAGTCCTTAAAATTTTTTAGTTGATTAAATCATGTAACAGAAACTTTGGACTACATTTTGTTACTAACAGTTAAGAAAAGTGCAAATATACTTACCTCAATCAACTTGTTGGCATGTTCACGAAAAACTTGAGCATACTCCTTAACTTCTTTCTCATTTCCATTTTTTGCAGCTTCAATCAATACTAAAAGTGGAACATTGGTTTCCAGAAAAGAATCTGAAACATGGTCCATGACAGCTTTGCGGAGCTAGGAATTAAAATTGTGATGTGATGTGATGTTTGTTTGTACTAAGAAGTTGTTTCCTATACCCCTTTTCCACCCTTCACTCCGTTCACATCTTTGTCTTTAATGGAAGCCTATGAAACACTAGCTGTACTTACAGGAGGACCCCTCCTCCTGTAAGAACAATTACTTAACCAGAAACAAGGATTGTGGATACAATCAGTGGCTTACACTGTGGTCACAGAACAGATCCTCAGTGTTTAAGAAAATATCCTTTATTCTTGGGAATTGCAACACTAAGGACTAACTCGTAAAGGAATAACACAACGCTGAAAAGAAAGCAGCTCTGAACTGAACTGGCACATAGCCTTGGGATGTATATAATTAGCCTAATTGTTTAAATGAAATGAGAAGAAATAATACTTTCTAGTTTGTTTGAAAGGGTTAGCAAAGTATGAATATGAACCTTCAAACTTAAAGATTATTTTTTAACCATTTCTGATACTGCTTTATCAAAAGGAAATTGCATGATGATAATGTTCAATATTTAATTTTACTTATTATCAGACATTAACAATAAATGTTCTCCACCAATTCTTGGAAATTGGCTAAATTACTCACTTCAAAAGCCTTAATACATTATTTTATAAGCCTAGCCCTAATTTTTTAAAGATTAAAATTCAATTTGATTCCAAAATGTTAACTGAATTATTTATCATTAAATAAACAGATTGTTTATATTTACTAATATGGAACTTGGCATCCGAAATATTGCTATACTAACATATTTGAATTGGAAACACATCTATCCCAATGAGGTAAGGGATCTAACTGCAAATGTATTTTCAGAATAGGGCAAGTCAAATAAGTAACTAGAATTTCATGTCTACTGTATGTGAGCTAATTTAACAAAATCCTTAGAACTTATTTCCCCAAGTCCTCTTAAATTGACTTTCCTCTTATACATGTTCTTTTCATGCTAGAGCTCATTTATTTCAGTTCATCCCCATGGGACCATATTTATTAATACAAGCCCCCCATCATTATGAAGTTTACAAGTAATAAAACACAGAGCCACTTAAAATCTATTCTTTCAATGAAAAATAAGCCTAGTATTTATTAGGGTTTTAATCAAAACTAAAAATTTGAGAACTTAGAAAAGCAATCACTACTTTCTTTTACCTTACCTGTCTCCGCAAGTCCCTGGTCTTCTTGGTCATTTTATCTATTGCAGAATTGAGTGCATCACTTCTTTCTTTACGTCCAGCCTGTATAAAAGGTCAAGAGATGAACACTTTAGTTAAAAGAAACTGTAATAATACTTTATAATTACATAGAGCTCAAATCAACATTGGATAAACAGTACAATTCAGCTGGGAACAAGGCTTCACACTTGTCTTAACATACACAAAGCCCTAGAACTTGACAAGCAAGCAAACAAGAACAACTTTTTTTCAATCCCAAAGTTGTAAACTAGTGGGGGCAGAGTGATTTTGTACATAAAAACATCTTCTGTTAATAATAATAATAAATTCTTAGATTCCATAGTATCTTTTAAAACAAAAAAAGCAGCATAAGCATTTATTTTCACTACCACGTATTATGTGACCTGCATAACTGTATGTGCTATACTTTCACACAACTAATAGCACCCTGGGTTTGTTCACATGAGCATCCACCAAAAATACATGAGCTAATGCTTGTTGTTTGTTAGGTTCCATATTATCTGATGACTAAAATGACAAGTTTTGTCAAAATAAGAAAAGTCAAGAGACAGGATTTTTTGTTGTTATTTTTTGTTTTTAAGAGACAAGATTCTCAACTTGCACCCCAAGTTGGTCTCAAACTTTTGATTTTCCTGACTTGGCAAAAAAAGTTATGCTTAAAATTTAACCTCAAAAATTAAATTTATTGGTGGACACATGTGGTTCATGCCTGTAATCCTAGCTTCTCAGAGGCTTGACATTTTAAGGATCATAGTTTGAAGCCAACCTAGGCAGGAAAGTCCATGAGACTCATCTCCAATTAACCACATAAAGGCCAGAAGTAGAGCTGTGGCTCAAGAAGTAGAGTGCTAGCATGAGCAAAAAAGCTAGGGACCGCTCCCAGGCCCCCTGAGTTCAAGAACTAGTGCCAGCGCAAAATAAATAAATTCATTCATTAATCTGAGTACTGTGGTACATACACACCTGTACACCTGTGAGCCCAGCATTTGGGAGGCTTAAGGCAGAAGTATTTAGAGTTTAAGGCCAGGCTAGGCTAGGCTACATAACAGAGGGTCAATCTCACCCTCTTTCCCTAAAAAGATAAAAAGTTTAACTCAAGGTTCAGCATTCAGCAATTTAATTACTGAATTAGTCCCAGTAAACTGCAAGAACAATGATACTGATAATCTCTGAGATCTGGAGGGAGAGGAGGGCTGTAAGGTCCTTGGACTTGAACTAAGGCCCTGGGAACTGTCCCTAAGCTGCTTTTGCTCAATCAAGGCTAGTGCTCTACCACCTGAGTCAGAGCTCCACTCCCGGCTATTTTAGTAGTCTATTGGAAATAAGAGTCACAGACTTTCTGCCCTGGTTAGCTTCAAAGCACAGTTCTCAGATCTCAGCCTTCTGAGTGGCTGGGATTATAGGTGAGCCACTGGTGCCCAGCTCTCAAACTGTGGCTTTAAAGTAAAATTTAAAATCGATGTACCATGACCAATCAAAATTAATAATATATATCATGCAGCTTAAATCAGACTGCTTTGTAAAATTACTTGATCATATTTTTAGAATTTCCAGGCTAAGCTTAATGTACATAGAAAGGAACATATTAACTTTTGGGAAGGTGCATCAATAACTACACACAAATGAAATACATGCAATTTGAAAGCAAAGAGATAAAAGTTATTATCTCAGGTACAGCTGAGATCTAGTAAGATCTAAACTATACTGAACTATGAAATACATTTAAAATGTGTTCTCACAAAAAAGTGACCTTTTTCTCTAACATTTTAATAATCCCAGAAGAAATACAAATGGACAAAGGAATTTGGTGCCTTTGGGACATTTTTGTATAGGTATGATGTTCATACATACACATAAGACATCTCTGGTGAATTAGTGGGGACAGGGAGATGTGGCTGTGTGCTTATTACGTGTCTTATGTAATTTGTTATTCACTTTATCTCTTACCTTCTGTTAAGTGGGAACAATGTCACTTATCGCTAAGAAATGTTAGAGAAGAAAAGGGAAAAAATATTGAGGGATGTTATTTAGCAGAGGACAGAAAGGAGGTAAGAGAGGACTTATGACAAAAGCTGTGAATTGATATAGTCAGTATCAAATCAAATCAGTCCCATTCCTTTCAAATTCCTCCTGCACTTGTGTATTGGTAATAAAATTAAATGGTCCACTAATATTCATGCAGGTGGTGATCAGAGATAGGGGTGTCATTAACAACAGGTATAAGGATTACAATCAGCAGAAATAAGGTGTGGTTTATTCTTCTATGGGTCAGAAGAGAACTAAGTCAACTTAACGATGCTTAGTTACTGAAAAATCTCAAGATCAAAATATCCAAGATTACTGGGCACTGGTGGCTTATGCGGGTAATCCTACCTTCTCACTAAGCTAAGGTCTGAGGATCACAGTTCAAGGTCAGCCCAGGTAGACAAATATGAGACCTTATCTCTAATTAACCAGCAAAAAGCCAGTAGTGGATCTGCATCTCAAGTGTCAGCTTTCAGAATCATGGAAATACATGGAATCTGAATCCCAAAGGTTGGGTTCATGGACCTCATGCGACCCCAATCTGTAATTTAGACTGCCTCAGCTTGGATGGAAGGATTTTTTTAAACTTAACACCAGCAGGGCTGGGAAGGTGGCTCAGTGGTAAGTGCTTGCCTTGCATGCCTGAGGCCCTGGGTTCGACTCCTCAGCACCACATAAGCAAAAAGAAAAAAGCCGGAAGTGGTGCTGTGGCTCAAGTGGTAGAGCGCTAGCCTTGAGCTGAAGAGCTGAGGGACAGCGCCCAGGCCCAGAGTTCAGGCCCCATGACCGGACCCCAAAAAAAAAAAAACTTAACACCAGCAAAAATTAGTCACACCGGAAAATTCATTTTAAGATATAATGCCAAGCTGGGTGCCAGTGGTTTATGTTTGTAATCCAAGCTTGCGGGGGAGGTGCAAAGGTAGGAGGGGAAGTGGCTAAAAAATGGAGGATGGAAGTTCAAGGCCAGAAAAGACCCTTCCCAACCCATGGCTAAGCAAGCTACATCTATCATCTCAAGCTACATGGGAAGCCGAGACCAGGAGAATCACTATGTCACAGGACAGCCATGATAGAAAATTGATGCAATTCCATCTCCATAGAAGGGGAGCAGGGATGCACTTGTGATCCCAGGGATAATAGGTAGATCATGGCTCAGCTATACACCCAGATGGGATGTGAGCTCCTATCCTAAAAATAACATGTGAAAAACAGGGAGGGAGGTGTCACTCAGCAGTACTGCGCCACTCTAGTAAGCACCAGGCTCCTACCTTACTCCCCCAAAGATACAATGCCAGCCCACACTCTGAATCTATTAATACTGTCTTTGCCAAACTTCCTCAAAAATTAATTTGTCTTACTACAGTTAATAGAAATTTATGCCTCGTTAGTCAAGAATTGCAGTTAGAAAGTACTTATTTAATAAACCTTTTAGGTAACTAACCACTTACATAATTTTAAGGTTCCAATCACCTTAAATATAGCAAGGATTATTGCATATACATATACAACACATGAAACTTCATGAAAGTAGAAAGCATATTGATATGTAAAACAAGACTATTTCTTTTAAAATTAAGTAATAAAATTTAATTTGTAAGTTTTATCTGTGCAAAAATAAAGGTATCAATGTTAGGTAAAGTAATTCTGGAACATTGACTATCTCTTGTCCAAAATGCTTAGGATCAGAGTATTCCTGGTTTTAGAGTTTTCTTGAATATTTGCATAGACTTATCTTAAAGTTTAGATTTGCAGGTATTAAGGATTTAGGCTCTTCAGATACTCAACTTGATGACTTACTGGAAGTTGTGGGCAAACTAAAATTAGTGATCCTCAATTCCTACCTAATTAAAAGGCTCTATTTCATTGAGTAGGGTATGCCCTCACATTTAATTTTGATGTATGTGTATCTGGCTTAGCAGTGGCAATAGGACTTCCTAAGAAAACAATAAAGAATGTTTGAAGCTAACCAAGACCCAAAAGTGTTTCAGCAGAGGACATAGTCAGACCAACAAAACCTAGGACTTCTACTCTAAATTCTACTGTTTTGGGTTTAGCTTTTTGCTTTTTTTTTTTTTTTTAACTGAAGAGATTTTTTTCAGGCAGCCATCAAGACTGCCAGCAAAAAGATCTGTTTGGGGCTGGGAAGATAGTAAAGTGCTTGCCTTGCATGCATGAAGCCCTGGGTTCGAGTCCTCAGCACCACATAAGCAGAAAAGGCAGGAAGCAGTGCTGTGGCTCAAGTGGTAGAGCACTAGTCTTGAGCTGAGGAGCTGAAGGACAGCACCCAGGCCGAGTTCAGGCCCATGACAAATAAACAAACAAACAAATAAATAAATCTGTTTGCCAGGCTCATACTTGTAATCTTAGCTACTCAGAAGGCTGATCTGAGGAGTGAGGTTTGAAGCCTGCCTGGGCAGGAAAGTCCATGATACTATGATCTCCAAATAACTACCAAAAAAATTGAGAAATGGAGCTGTTGCTCAAATGGTACAGTGCTAGCCTTGAGCTGCTCATGGATAACACCCAGGCCCTGAGTTCAAATCCCCAGATTAACACTCAATGAATGAATGTTGTTTTAACATGTCTAGGACACTTTGGTGCAACAGTGGTCCTTGGACATAAACAATTCTTACAGCATACAATTAAAGAAACATTTGGCTTTTAATATAAAGCAAATATGAAGTTATTTACCATGGAAAGAGCAAATTTCATTTATTTATATATCTTTTTTTTTTTGGTGGGGGGGGGTCCGGTCATGGGGCCTGAACTCTGGGCCTGGGGCACTGTCCTTTAGCTCTTCAGCTCAAGGCTAGCGCTCTACCACTTGAGCCACAGCGCCACTTCTGGCTTTTTTCTTTTTCCTTATGTGATGGTGAGGAACCGAACCCAGGGCCTCATGCATGCAAGGCAAGCATTCTTACCACTGAGCCACCTTCCCAGCCTTATTTATATATCTTTATGTCTGCTTCTCCCCAGTTAGCAATATACTCAAAGCAAACTTATACAGAGGAATGTGGACAATTATCTGAAGCCTACTACATTGACTCACTATATTACTTAAAACTATGCTGGTTTTTTTTTTTGGGGGGGGAGAGGGGGCGATGTCAGCCTGGCAACTATCCTTGAGCTTCCCTTGCAGATTTTTTGACAGTTAATAGGAGATGAGAGTTTCGTGAGCTAGGACAGCTTTGAATTGTGATCCTCAGATCTCAGCCTACCAAGTAGCTAGGGATTAGACACAAACCACCTGCACCTGGCTTTCAAACTATTCTTAACACCTAAACAACTGAGAATTGAAAGAGATGACAGACATCATTTTCCAGAAGTAGTGCTGCTACTTTATGTCAAAGGCATGTCAAAGGCATATGTAGAAGAAAGCTGCTTTAAGATGAAACCTAAGAACCAGTTTATTTCGGAAAGAAGGAAGACATCTATAAAGGTAAACTAGAATAAAGACAACAAAGTAGCACAAACTTCCATCAATGGGAATTGTGCATTATTCTACAGATTTAGACGAAAATGCTTTCGTCTTCTTTGGGTCAACAGCTTCAACTTTTTTAATAAAAAAGTAAGCAGGTGAGAAAGATAGCTACTGACCTAGTAAGAACCATGTTCTCTCCACATTATAATGCAGCAAACAACTTCCCACTTTCCTAAAGTCATGAGATGATGACGACTTATTGGGTATAGTAGTAAATATCGATAATCTCAGCTATTCGGGAAACTGAGGCAGGAGGATCTTGAGTAAAGGCCAGCCTGGACAACACAGGACATCGTTCTTACTTAAAATAACAATAATGACTGCATTCTGTTTTTCTGGGCAACTTTCCTTGCCCACAATTCTGTTATAACAGTACTGGAATAATACGATTTAGGTAGTTTCCATTCATTAGTATGTAAGAAGTAGGCAAGGAACAAAAGAACTAAGAGTCCAAGAGCAAGGGGATTTTTTTTCTTTATAATTTTTAACATACAACTCATTCTTAATTATGGTTGTCTTAACCCAACTGACTCGCTGCTTTCTCACCCAAGGAATTAAAGTGGCTAAAAGAATTTAACTTGTTTTCTGTATCACTAAAGTTTTTGTTTTTTCACCAGAATATGGCTGCCTTCAGTAAGACATTTACAGCATCCTGAGGGGTGATATAATGGTGGTAGCTGTTGGCTATTTTTGGAAACAGGATCTTGCTTTGAAGCTAAAGCTTGGCTCAAACTCATGGTCCTCCTTGCCTCGGCTTCTGGGATGCTGGGATTACAAGCATGCACCACGAAAAGGCTTCACCTTATTTCTTTTTCATTAAAAACAAATTTTAAAAGACTCTGAGACTCTTCTCTTGGGAACCGTTGGGGGCAAGATCCTAGCAAATGAGTTTCAGAAACCTAGTGTAATAGATCCACACCTTAACAGAAAACGGTACAAGCAACAAAATTTCACAAGCTCATCCATATAACAAGCCTATTGAGATGGACTATAGAGGGAATTGAGGTCAATGGGGCAGTGGCATTGCTCCATCTACAAAAGGACAGATTCATCTCTCTTCTCCCTTCCTGAGCAGGATCACACAGGAACATGGTGGTACAAGTGCTAGTGAAAACTCATTCTTCAGGATGTGAGAGCAAAACCTCACAGGCAACTTTGGCTTGAAGACTTCTATTTAGCCAGTGAATTACACTGAGCCAGTCTCCTTCTCTTCTTCCTTCACAAATGTCAGACCTGTCTCTACTGTCCCTTGGAGTATTCTTGCTGACTTCTCTCCCCGTCATTTCTGTCAATTAAACTTGCTCCTTAGGATAACTTTTAGAACTCAAAACTATATCTGCATTGTTTCCACAGAACTTTTACACAGTGCTTAATGTCTTCTAGTCCTCACTCAAGTACCACGTTCAAGCACAAAAATTTTACCTCTTAAGGTAATGACTTCTTAAGACTTTCCCAGTAAATGAAAACCTCAGAAAATCTTGTTTCATAGACACGGTATATTTCTGGCTCAGGTCAGAAACAAAACTAAGGAAATGCCAAAGGTATGGGGCTGGGGGTGGGAAATAGGTATATACAGTCAGATCATGTATTAAAGGCATTAATATTAGTAGGCTTGAAAGCATGGCATTGACTCATGCTAGAAACATCTTTATTTTTACAACACTAACCGGGAGCTGTTCATTCATAGTCAAAGTCTGTAAAGTGATAGCACTATCCAATCAGGAGATAGTGAAATCAAGCAAAAACAAACCAAAGTAAAAATCCTATTCCAATGTACAAGTGACCTTTTGTATTCACAAGAAAGATTCCAACAAGAGCTAGTGTGAGACTCAAAATTCAGTTCTTAAGGGTGCCAGTAGGAGCTAGTGTGAAAATGCCCTATTATTTCAGTGCCATAGACCCTCCAATCCATTACTAGCTGTTACTTTTAGTTAAGTAGGTTGAAATGCTGAGGTAAAACCAGGAACCATGTTAGAACCCACTCACATTCCATTAGTTATCTGAAATCACCTCTGTTCCACTCTTAGCACTTGGGTCATGTGTATCAAATGACAATACCAACTTGCCTTTTTCTTCTAATAGGCCATCCAAAGATCAATGCAGCATTATTTTTTTTCAATCAACATAATGACAAAACATTGCTATAAAATAGGACAGAGAAGGAAACATCTTAGTTTCCCTGAAATTCTCAAAGGAAAATAAGAGGGCAAAATGCTTTCTTTTGGAATCCCCACCCTTTTATTCTTGCTTTATGTTAAGCACTTAATGACAAAGAAGCTAAGCCCACTTAGTTTAACAACACATCTAAAAGCAAATCACAGTCATACTTTGATCTTAACAAAGCAATTGAGTAGCTTCCCAAACTACCAGCAATGGCACTACCTTATATAGGCTGGCATTAAATCAGTACTTCATAAATCAATCATGCTTGCTTCTGCCCATTTAGATAATCATTCTGAGAATCAGCAGTACAACACTGACTCTCACACGCATTAAAAATCATCACTCTGCTAGCCCAACTCACTGTTCAGATGGTTCTTCTTGAATGCAGCCTTTATTACAACCTCACTGCTGCTTCTACACAGAAGGAACACAAAACGTTTTAAAGTCAGTAGTTCTTCTTTCTTGCATTATTGTAACTGGGGGGATTTGGGGGGGGGTCTTTCAAGACCCCAATACTGTTACAAAGCACAGTGCTTTTTAACAGTAAAGCTTCTGGAAAACCCAAACAAAAGACACGTCACCCAGTGACGTCAGCCTATATACAGTTCTGTGTGGTCGCAGCACATAAGCAAATCCATTCTTGTGCCGTTTCTCGGAAAAGCTTTTCAGTAAATGCACTCATGCTGCTCCAGGAGCTCTTCTCTGCAACAAGCAGCCCATCTGCCATCAACAAGTTAAGACCAAAAGAACTAACGGCTACGGAACAGAAAGACTGACGCTTTGATGACCAGCAGCAATCAAGGAGAAAAAAAATTAATAACTTGCATTCAGAACTGTTTTTGGGAATCTGAACATCATGGAAAATGAAACCAATGCTTGCTAGAGGAATATCCTAAGGAAAAAAACAACTCACCCTGGTGGATTCAATTTTAATAGGAAAGCCTGGAACACAGAAAACAGGAAACTGGTCAAAGGCTCCTGTATGTTAGAGCCTTTTACAGACTCACTGCGTTGAGTCTAATAACCTCGACTGAATGCAGCCTCCAATGTGCACAGAAGAATGGGTAAGTCGATGAATTTATGTTTTTTACAGTCAACAAGGACTCACACTTTTAAAATAAGCCACTGATCACATTTTATGAGAAATCATTGTCAGTCTGGATTTTGAGGGTTAGGCAAAGGCATATATCGTTGATGATAGAAATGTTTTAGCTTCTCAAAAGGTTTAAGTTGTCATACTAACAAGGTTAATTTTTCTGCAGCAAATGAAAGTAAGTTTTATGCAGTGAAATCTTTCATCATAATGTTCTGTTGTTATTGTTGTTGTTTTTAACAGCCTATATGTTCTGCTGAAACATATCCTATCTTCTTGTTTTCCTTAAATCATATTCTGCAGGCTTACATTTCAAGTGGCCATTAGGGGCCCCTATGCTGGCAGCAATATATGCAATGAGTATGATTTTTAAAATGCTGCCTGCCCTGGGTATGGCATGTCCACCCAAATGCCGCTGTGAGAAGCTGCTATTCTACTGCGACTCTCAGGGCTTCCACTCAGTGCCAAACGCCACAGACAAGGGCTCTCTGGGCCTGTCCCTGAGGCACAATCATATCACAGAGCTTGAAAGAGATCAATTTGCCAGCTTCAGTCAACTTACCTGGCTTCACTTAGATCACAATCAAATTTCAACAGTAAAAGAAGATGCTTTCCAAGGACTATATAAACTTAAGGAATTGATCTTAAGTTCCAACAAAATATTTTACTTGCCAAACACAACTTTTACCCAACTAATTAACCTGCAAAATTTGGACCTGTCTTTTAATCAGCTGTCATCTCTGCATCCAGAGCTCTTCTATGGCCTTCGGAAGCTGCAGACCTTGCATTTACGTTCCAACTCCCTGCGGACTATCCCAGTACGTCTGTTCTGGGACTGTCGTAGTCTGGAGTTTCTGGATTTGAGCACAAATCGTTTGCGAAGTTTGGCTCGAAATGGATTTGCAGGATTAATCAAACTGAAAGAGCTTCACCTAGAGCACAACCAGCTGACAAAGATTAATTTTGCTCATTTCCTCCGGCTAAGCAGTCTGCACACGCTCTTCTTACAATGGAACAAAATTAGCAACTTGACATGTGGGATGGAGTGGACCTGGAGCACTTTAGAAAAGCTAGATCTGTCTGGAAATGAAATCAAAGCCATCGACTTGACAGTATTCGAAACGATGCCTAATCTTAAAATACTCCTCATGGATAACAACAAGTTAAACAGTCTTGATTCCAAGATCTTAAGCTCCCTGAGATCCCTCACAACTGTGGGCCTCTCAGGCAACCTATGGGAATGCAGCCCCCGAATATGTGCTCTGGCCTCCTGGTTAGGCAGTTTCCAAGGTCGGTGGGAGCATTCCATCCTATGCCACAGCCCTGACCACACCCAAGGAGAGGATATTCTAGATGCAGTCCATGGATTTCAGCTCTGCTGGAATTTATCAACCACTGTTACTGCCATGGCTACAACTTACAGAGATCCAACCACTGAATATACAAAAAGAATAAGCTCATCAAGTTACCATGTGGGAGACAAAGAAATCCCAACTACTGCAGGCATAGCAGTTACTACAGAGGAACACTTTCCTGAACCAGACAATGCCATCTTTACTCAGAGAGTAATTACAGGAACAATGGCTTTATTGTTTTCTTTCTTTTTTATTATTTTTATAGTGTTTATCTCCAGGAAGTGCTGCCCTCCCACTTTAAGAAGAATTAGACAGTGCTCAATGATTCAGAACCACAGGCAGCTCCGATCCCAAACACGACTCCATATGTCAAACATGTCAGACCAAGGACCGTATAATGAGTATGAACCCACCCATGAAGGACCCTTCATCATCATTAATGGTTATGGACAGTGCAAGTGTCAGCAGCTGCCATACAAAGAATGTGAAGTATAATATCTACTCGTCATCAAAAATCACATCAGATAAGTAACCTATTTTACATAGTAGGGGATAAATACATTATCTAATTTTTACCATTGGTGACATTAAGCCAAACCAAGTGGAGACTTAGTTTTTCAAGTGTTAAAGTATTTTTAATTTTTTTAATGAAACCATATTTTAAGTGTTAAATGAAGCAATGCTCACATTAATTTGCATTCTTGTTGGAAAGTCTAAAATACTTCAAAATAAGACATTTCATGTATGTAATTATATATTATTGTGTGCAAACATTTATACTAAGGTCTCCATATGCTATGTTTTTCTACTGAAAACAGTTTGGGGAGAAGCTATTGAACAAAAACAGATATGGATCAATACCTGTTTGATCATTGCTCTACACCCAATATATCAACTGGCTTTCTGCTTAAAAAGTCAGCAAAGTTCTCTTGTATGATAATTTGGTTATTTACTATTACATATCTATAATCTGCCAGCGTGAGAAGTAGATGTACATGTATGCTAAAGGCTGATAAATATTAAACACTCTCTTCTTCCAGAGATTTATCCCCCCCCCCCCACACACACCCTGGGCTAGAAGATATCAAGGTCCACATCACAAAATCAAAATTCTTTATGTAACTCTAATAATCTGAAATAATTCTTTAACATATTTAAACAGTAAGTGAATCCAAATGATTGTAAAAAGGCCTCATTACAATGAAATCAATACTGAATAATTAAAGACTGATCATATATCTTTAGTCTGACTTGTAACAGAAATGTTGATTTTTGTGGCATTTTGACTATTTTTGAATGTATTAAATTGCCATTTTACTGATTAACTTACTAAGTCCTTTATTTACATTGTAAAGGGTTAGAAATTATTTGAGAAAAGATAAACTGAGTCAATTAAACAATCCTAACACGTTCAATCAAGTTTAGGAAATACCCCTCTAAAAGTTATCTATCATCTCCCACTCCTGTCATGTTTAAATAAGCCTTGACAAAGAATTTTAAGCTTCTATCTTTAAACCTCAAAGAGACAAATGAAAAATAATTGGGTAGCAAAAGTCATGACACTGGTTATTATAAAGGATCCATAAAACATTACTTTATAAAACTGATTTTTCCCTTTCAATAAAAATACGCATTCAGATTGTATGATTCCTTTTGAGGCAGGACCAACATATCACTGAGGTGACTCTTATGGTGCAACACTTGACGTGCTTATACTGCCACACAGCAGTAACTGGAAGGCAGCACAGAGGTGAAGGGATGAAGAGCAAAGAATGATTTGGAAACCTGATTCTCAGGTTAGCTGAACTTTCTGGGCAACTAAATTATATATAATCTATACCAAACAAGCAAGGTCCAGGGATCTGCACTGGAAACCAACCAGAGAGAGCCTTTCCAGCATAGATATAAATATTGCATAATAATACAATGATGCCACATTTTTCATGCAAGAAAGAACCATGAGTGTTCAATTTCTTCAATGATGATTTCCATGGAGAAACTATGACATATTTGGGATTTAGACACACAATTCTTACATATTTTCCCCCATAAAAGAAGATTCTACATATGTGGTAAAACTATGATGGTAGAGCATTATTTGATTTTAGAAAACTAGGCGTTTTTACAACTGTCACTTACTGTATGTGAAAAAAGGCATAAATCCTTAGAGGAAATCACTACCATAAAAAAGAGAGACATCTTTCCTTAACATGTCTCTTAATATTATATCCTTTATTTGGGGTGTATTTTCTTTCTAGAAAAATGAAAACATGTTATCACTCTAGTTTAACCAGTAAGACTTAATTGTAGTTTTTCTCCTTTAATACCAAAAAGGGTAACTACACCTCTTTCCTCTCTCTCTCCCTCCCTCTCTCTCTCTCTCTCTCTCTATATATATATGATATATATATATATATATATATTATATATATATATATATATCACTTTCTAAAGACAAGATCACAAATTATGGTTTAAAATGCTCTCTACAGGTTTAAGGGAGAGTAATTAGTTTGGCAAATCCTCAGCCTTGTTCAGTTCAGTTGATCTTGAGTGGTGAGCATTTCATCTCTTATTAAAACAGATTTTGGGCTTGCCTAGACAGAAACAGATGCTAATTTTCAAGCATAAAGCATAGTGCACTACTTTTCCACAATGGGGCTGGAATCGGAAACTCCCATAATGAGAGGCCCTCCGTGGGCAGAAATTTACCAACCCATCTTTCAGGTTGACCACTGCCATTTGTCAGGTGACAGATAGCTTGTCACCTGAGGATATAGCTCTGAGGATACGAGATTCCATCAGCCTGAAAGATAGGAGTACTCTGCATAACTCTGCCCAAAATTAATTCAACTGTGAATATGAGGATAAGAAATATTCTCTTCCTTCTATGCTGGGAATCTCTATATTAATCTAAAGGAGACAAACTGGCAAACTCCTTATGTATGTGGAAAGCATGGTGTTTAATAATTCAGAGGAAGAGCATTGCCAAGGCCACCAAGGAATACTTTTCTCACATAGAGTATATGTGTGTATATGTATATATATATATATATACACATATATATTCCATGTTTTTAGTGATGTTTGCTGAGAAAAATGACAATATGAACTAGTAATTTTTCCTTTCATCCTCCGCCCAAATTTCCTTCTAATTGCCTTCAGAAAGCAGGTTATATTTCATAGTTGTCTATCTGTGACTTGGTATCAACACAAGGTTGAAAATGAGACTTAAATACCTGTGCTGCCTTTACCAACTGGCCAGGGTAGAAGCTCACCACAGCAACACTGCAGATTCTAGTCACAATGTCAGGCTTTTGAGTTTTTTGGTGGGGTTATTCTCTTTGTCACTCTCCTCCTCACCTCCCACACGCATTTTCAAGATTAGAAGAAAATAAATATTAAGAACCAGGAAAATAATCTCTCTGGAAAAAGGAAAGCAAAAAATGACTATGATACCATATCTATGTACGAAGCAAGAACTATTTTACAATTGTTTCTACTCATATCTATAGCTTGCCAGGAAATACAAAAGACAGTGGGAGTTAGTAAATTTGCAAATCCACACCCAACTCAGAATGTTCAGTGCCAGCATCAAAAAGCAAGTACATTAATTTTTAAGCCAAAACTACATACTAACAAATGTAATTTCTGATGTGCCTGTTAATTCCTGTACCAACTGAATGAATGGAACTGAATGGACTTCCCAACTCTACTTAATAACTACTAAAATCCATCTGCTTATTCTAATTGCTAGTTACCAAAAAGTAGACTCCATCTTCCTAATAAAAATGAATCCTGTTATAGCATTAGATCTGAGTCCTAATTTTCATACTTCCCACACAGAGCTGGGAAGGGAGGGGAAGTATATAAAATCTTCCTACCTCTCTGGTATCAACATCAATTTTTAACAGCTAAATTACATGACAGTTTTCCTAATACAACAGAAAGTCCCCAAAGTGTGTTTGGGGACACACTTCTCATATCTTATTGGTTAAAGTGAGACAGAAAAGAAGACAAAGAAAAAAAGACAATGAGGTCATTTATAGAAATTTAAATATTTCTCTGTCTAACCAGGGGCAAATGATAGCTATTTGAATATGGCCAAAAACAAACAGAAAATCAGTTTAAACCTTTGTTCTACTATGGCAAACATTTGGAAACTTCTGCAGCCTTTCAACTAACCTTTTCTTGAATTAAAAAAAAATAGTCTGATATATGGAATGTTTGGTGAAGCTATCAACACTGAGACTGGAAACTCAAAGTACAGTCCAAACATATTGTATCCAGTCACCCTTAAGAGCCATTTTCTGTGGGGTGGGAGGTGGGGTGGGGTGGGGTGGGAAGGAAATACTACTATATAGGGTGTCTTGGGAGGGGGGAGGGTAATAAAGTACAGTGTACAAGAAAGTTTGTTATTAAAATTGTGTATACTGTAAAAAGTGGATGTCTCTCTTCTTTCAGAACTTCCCTGATAACTTGTCAATGTGAACATGTGAAACTTGAAAAGCCATTTATGATAGATAAGAAATCTTAAATAAAAAGTTGTTTTGTACCATGTCCCTTCTACAATGCCAAATATGTAAGCTTTTTGTAAAAAGGACAACTAATCATCACCTGTCTTTATTATTCACGGACAGGTTAATTATGCTAGAAAAGTAAAGATTAAAAGAGGCACAAAATATGTGGAATAAGAAACTTTTTCTATTGAAGCCTAAAAACAACTGAACAGAAGGTGGGGTTCAGACTTTCCCAGTCCTATACAATAAACTACAATCACATCCTGAGAGGGTTCTAAAGGAGGTCCTAGGTGCTTGCACCAAGTAAACAGCAACTTGGCCTCTATTTCAGTAATAAGGTGGGACAGATCCTAGCATCACTAGTGCACCACTCCTGGTAAGTTGACAGGTGCTGACCATGCTGGTACCATTAGGCTCCCTACATGACTTATTCTACCTAGATAACAGTTCCATGGGTATGAATAGTAAAAGATTCTTAACTAGTGTTCTTCAGTTGGCATCAATATCTTCAAACCGGATGCTAGGCCTGGGCAGCAACTGTCCTAATGTCCAGGAAATGCCAATAAACAGCCACACTTGCCAGGATTTAATTCCTTCTTCTCCAGCCCCATCATAGCACAGAAATATCAAACAAAGGAATAAAGAAAGCCAACCTTTTCCTAAACCCAGGGGTGCTAGGATCAGTGAGTCTAAGAGAGCTCTCACATCAGGATCCTCCACTAAAACCAGTGTAGAGTCAGGAAGCACAGCACACAATTTTACAGCTAAAATCAATGAAGTAGCAGATATATAAGTGATATGGTTTTAAATCACACAAAAGGACCAAATCCCATGCTTTATGTAGTTAGAGACCAAACTTATTAACATAACTTTTGTTCAATTTAGTCTTGAAAATCTTACATAAAGCTTCACCTCATTTATTGATTGATTGATTGCCGGTTGTGGGGCCTGAACTCTGGGCCTGGGCGCTGTCCCTGAGCTCTTCAGCTCAAGGCCAACACTCTACTACTTGAGCCATAGCACCCTTTCAGCTTTTTCTGCTTATGTGGTGCTGAGGAATCTAAACCAGGGCCTCATGCAAGCAAGGCAAGCACTCTACCACTGAGCCACCTTCCCAGCCCTCACCTCATTTTTTAAAAAATCAGGTATTTGCATTAATTTTACTTGTATGCTCCCAACATTTTCAGGTTCCTCTCAGATATATAATAGATTTATTCAAGGTCTGTTAAAGATTTGTTTTCCCTTTTCTTTAAATATATCTAACCATCTGGGTACAAACCTCCCTTAGACAAAATGCACTACAAAATTTCTTTACAAAGATACAAGAGAAAAAGAGATGAAAGTCGAACCTATTCCAAATCATCTCTCCTTAGCATGAGTTTGACCTATTCCTCACCCACTGAAAGTTTTGTAAACGCTTTTAAGGAATGGATCTGGAACCTTCCCTTTCAATATCTTTTTTTTTTAAGGGTCATTAAAAAGCAAGAAATCTTCAAGACAAGTACAATGAGGTATTCTAACCTGCAAAGCACAAAAACTAAATATTTTCTCTCCTCCCAATACAGGCCTAACAACAAAATCCAGCCCAAGGCTTCCTAAGGAGCCCCAGCTAGAAATCCAAAATGAAAGAGCCATCTGTGACCAACTCTGACCCACTGAGGCCATAACTCATCCTTTATTCAGGAATGAGATTTAAAACTGCAGCCTCAGAGGCAATCCCCAAAGCCTTTTACAACTTTCAAGGACTTCACCACCAAAAAGCCAGGAAAGAGATGCAAAGAGTCACAGCTCTTCACAAGAGCTTCACAGCACAGACACGCACGATTGTGTTTAGCATAATAATTTCATCTTTTGAAACTCATATTTGTAATAAAAGTTAACAAAGCTCCAGGCTGCTTTTTCTCCAAAATGATTTTTCTTAAAAAAAATATAGACATTTGTATTAGCTTGTGTTTCATCACGAGAACCACAAAAAAAGTTAATGATAAACAAAAACTTGTCATATAAATGTTGTTGAATGGTAGAACACAACCTGGCTTATGTCCAAAATAGAATAAAATATGAAACTAATGCTGTCAAATACATCAAGGACCATTATTCAGTTCCCAAAATGTCTGGAAATAACATATTTATCATTTACATAGTAACTAATTCTATACTCAGGGAAACAGAATAACATTCATATATACAGAAACAGCTAAAATGGAATACAAAAAGTTCAAAGCAAGGGTTCTTTTTGTTTGTACCTCACACTGCTGCATCTATTCTCAATCTTTCTAGCTTTGTTCCTAGAGAGGCTGACCTTTATAAACAGCATACCTTGGTGCTCTCACTCTCTGGCTTATGAGATACCATCATCAAGAGGTCCATGGACTAAGCAAAAATCAGAGCCCATATTTTACAAGTCCCTGCCTGCCTGGCCTGTTAGGCAGAAAGACTGCTTAGGCTACATTTACCAAAGCAGGGTTCTTAACCCCAAGTGTTCAGGATATGTCTCAGAGAAAGCAGTAACATCTAGAAATTAGTACAATGTCATATGTGAATTCCAGATTTTTAGTGAAATCCTAAAGGGTTTTTGATAATCTACTAAAAAAAGGTAATGAAGCTCTGGTAGAGCAATAGTTATCTGTAATATAAAACAATTTGTTCCTAATCAAGATTCCTGGTGGCCAAGGCAAAGAATATAACCAACTGCTTTCATTGATAAACACTGGTTTATCTCATGGGGAAGATATGTAAGTATAAAAGTCTGTGAATTACTTACAAAACGGAGCCCATTATAGACATTTTTAAAAGTCAGATATATTTCTAAGGAATTTCTGGAGAACATACTCTTCATGTCAACTCTTTGTAAGATGCCCATGTGTCCATGCTGCATGCTCTGTGTGATCTACTTTTGTGATCATCCAAGGGTGAAGCTTAGAAAGTCTGTAAGGTTGAATAAGTACAATCTTGAAGAGTAGCTCATTTCCTCATCACTACACTGTTCCCACACACATACCGTAATTCCAGTAAATACAAACTATATTACATCTTCTAGACTAGGAGTATAATTTAAAATTAATAACATCTCCCACAGACTGGTGATATAGATTAGTGGTAGAATGAGGAAGAAGGTCAAAGAATGTACAAAGCCTTGGGGTTCAACCCCTCAGTAATGCACTACACTGGGAACAAAGGAAATTACGTTTCATGCTGTATCTTTACTTATGCTGATAATCATAAATGTTCTTCTTTGGATAAAAACACGTAAGATTCTAACATAGGTCCATACTTTTTTGCCTTCCAAGACCTGGACCTGAACTTAGTATCTGACACTTCCTTCCATTCATTGGCTGGTGCTGTACCACCTTAATCAAGCCTCAAGCTCCCAAGATTTGTTTTTTAAAAAAAAAGGAAAGAAGCTGTATAAGGCTACTAATTTCCTAAGAAAAAATAGATAAAGAAAACTAGACTGACTAGTTATGAGAAATTTAGGTCTCGTAAAACATAAGCCTGGCTCATGCCTGTAATTCTAGCTACTGAGGAGGCTGAGATCAAAGGATCATCCTGGGGGTTACAAGTCAGCCAGGGAAAGAAAGTCCATGAGACTCTTATCTTCCATTAATCACCAAGAAATCCAAAGTAGTAAAGCAGGGGGCTAGGAAGGTGACTCACTGATAAAGTGCTTGCCTTGCTTGCATGAGGCCCTGGGTTAGATTCCTCAGCACCACATAAGCAGAAAAGGCCGGATGTGGCGCTGTGGCTCAAGTGGTAGAGCGCTAGCCTTGAGCTGAAGAGCTGAGGGACAGCGCCCAGGACCAGAGTTCAAGCCCCATGACTGGCAAAAAAAAGAAAAAAGTGGTAGAGCACTGCCAAGGCCCCAAGTTCAAGCCCCACGACTCGGAAGATGGGGGAAGCAAGACTTAAAAAAATACACACACACACACACACACGTATATATAAAAACATAGATATATGTGTGTGTGTTAATCATGTCATTGCCCTGACACAGTAGTTGAGAAAACAATTTAAAGTAAGAGGATTTATTTTGGTTTATGGTTTCAGAAGCTTTGCTCCTTGGTTGTTGGCTAGCTCCATTGCTATAGGCCTGTGGTGAAACAGAACATCATGGTGAAGGCAGTATATGTCAGAGGAGGCTGCTGGACTCATAGCCAAGCATTACGGGCAGGATATGAAGAGTATATCCCTCCCCAGTGACCTTTAACTAGCCCTCGTATCTTTGTTTCTACCATTTCCCAATAATACCATCAAATTATGAATTTATGAGTTACAGTCATCATGATACAATCATCTCCCAATCAGTTAGGAACCAAATATTCAACATGAGACTTGGGGCGGGGGGTGGGGGGGAAGAGGGGCTCATTTCCAAACCATAACACTACCACCCAAGAAACTACAAATAAGCACACCAGTTAAGAGGTCTGGTCTACATTTAAACCTATGATTTGATAATTCCTTCAACCTCAGTTTGTCTTGGGTCTTTCATCCCTAAAACAAGCCTCTGTAGCAACCCTATTTACTCACGTACTAAGTCCTGAGACTTGCATGTAGTAAATGCTAAAAAATATTTGCTGCTTTTCATAAGCACCATGCAGAGTACCAACTGCTACAGCTCCTCCAGTAGAAAATGTAATCACATTAAAATCATGTTAGATACATGTATTACTTCTAAAATTTTCTACTTTTATCTAGACTTTCTTCTCTCGTTATGTTAATATGAAGTATCCAAAATGAAGGTTGGTAATTAACCAGAGCTCTCAGTAAGCTTCCACTGTCTGGTTACACTTTTCACATCTAATACATAAAACTGACCACTTTATCTTACAGTCAAAACAATCTGCTTTGCAAAAATGCATTATAACCTTAGACATGACATTACACTGGTTTGGTTTCTTGAATTAAAGCTACATTCCTAAAAATTTAGAATCCTTCCGATTTCCTTCTGGGTAAGGTAGTTATATAAAATCAATTGATGCCACTTAAATTACATAGAATAACATTGTCCATGATCATAAATGGGTATGTTTTTCAAATGCAATAAATAATTTCATTGATGTTTTCAAGTCTCTGACAATCCTACTTAGAATAAACTATATACTTTGAAATAAGGATCAATACTGTGTACATTTTTGCATATACATTAAGTCTAACATAGCTAATTTAAGAAGCAGCCCTTTCTGGACTGGAGGTATGGCTCAGAACCTAGTAAGTACGAGGCCCTTAGTTCAAATCCCAGTACCAGAAACAAACAAACAAGAAGCAGTCCTTTCCATTATGGAGATTCTGGTACCAAGGAAAATTTGCCAGAATTATTGAGGAAATGGGGGGGGCACGATAAATTTAAACCAAAAGGATTAATCTGGGTTTAGAGGTGTTGCTCAAGTGGTAGAGCATCAGCCAATGGGCGAAAGCATCGGATACCGCAAAAAAAAGGGGGGGGAACGTGGTTAATTAGTCCAGTGCACTTGTCAGGGTATGTTTTGCAATGGCTGGGCTATGATCTTTCTTATTACCAAAATCTCTACTCAATATAAAGCTTGCTCAGAATTAGTCTATTAGAATGGCATACTCACTTTATTTTTTAAAATCAGATCCTGTAGCTCTTACAGCCAAGATTTTCCAAGAACTTCTTTCTCCACATTGTATTTCCATAATCATGAAATTCAACAAGACTAGCTTATCTGTCATTCACACCTTCTGTCCACTTTACCTACATCTTTTTACTCTCAACTTCCTACCTGCTTTACCTGATGGAATCTCTAACATGTCAGCAAGTTATAGTATGTCAGCTGCTAAGCACCCACCTTACCTTCAAGAATATATCTAAATTAACATAGCACCCTCTCACTCTACGAAACAAAGTTATGAGTCAGGTGCAAACCAATACACACAGTTTGGTGAGTGTAATCATAAATACACTGCGTTATCATCTCTTCACACAGATCCAAATATAAAATGTTTATTCATTTACTTTCACTTTCAAAGCCTAGGCATACTGGCCATTTAATATGTATGGCTTGCTGTTAATATTCAGCATTTACTCGGCAGCTCTCTGATCAAATAAAATCCCCAACACAACTTTGATATGAACCGTTATTTTGCATTGAGTCAATGTGGCTATTATAGAAATGTACAATTTTGGGGGTAATGATATGAAGTAATCCTTACTTCCTTTACCTATGCCCTAAAATTTCACTCTATTTTTGTCACGATTTTATACAGCCAAAAAAACACTGGCCTTTCATGTGGAGTTATGCTCTGCTATGGTCTGTGCTTTAAATAAGAAAAAAAAGACATGAGGATCAGTAACTATTCCATACTAGAACTGCATGTATTAAGAATCTACAATCCTCAATGTACATCTGCAAGTTAAGTCTGGTTTGCTACATTACCATATCTTCTCTTGATAATCCCTTCAGGCCAACATGGGGAAAAAACTGCTAATTCTTGCTATCAACTTCCAACTAATAGTGTCCATTTAATCACTAAGTTAAAACTGCCAACATAAAATTTATCTATTACTCTCTGTAAGAAGCTAATAGTAGTACATGGTCAGGATTTTTTATCCTTTTGGTATAGCAATTTTGAAGTGTCAGAAGAAATCACAGCACTTGGGAGGCTGAGGCAGAAGGATCATGAAACCCTGTCTCCAAAAAAAAAAAAGAAAGAAAGAAAAGAAAAAGGTAGTACAGTGCTCAAGTGACAGTCATTTAGACACCAATCTAAGCTCTCTTAAAATTAGATGTGAGTTGAATCAAAAGACAAACTGTCACAGGGCTTATATAAAGCCTAGTTACA